GGTGGCCGGTGGTAGACTGATCTATACGGACATTATACACGCCAAGAATATTATCATTATTATTATTATTATTACTAAGGTAGACAGTACAATTAAATTTTGACTCATTGGATGAATAACAAGTGCGTAATAATAAATTACATCCGTAGCAATGAGGTTTTCATTATGCCTACGACGATGTTATTACCCTATTTTTATCTGTTTATTTTTTTTTTATTTTATACTTTTAAATATATTTTTAATGTTTGTTTCTTCCGTTGGATGTCATGTCTATACTGTCGTCGGTATAAAAATGCATTGTGCTGTATCTTATTGCTTCTCGGAGATCCGCCGTGCATACAATACATCGTCGGAAGAAAATTAAAATAATTACCTTTCGGCAATTATTATATACCATTTTCTACAGAAACATAAACAATTTCGGATATTCAAAAGAAAAAAAAAATTAAAAATTAATTTCAAATAAATAATAATATTAAAAAAAAATAAATGCCAATAGAATAAAAAACACAAACGTCAATATTTTTTTTTTTTATGTAAAATTGAAATAAATAGTTTTATTAAAATTACAATGTTTAATCTATATTATTATTTATACATATACCTATGAAAATAAAAATGAAAACACTAAATAATTATAATACGATTGTAATATCAACTAGAGAACTATTAATTATAATAACAAATATTCTATAAACGTAGGTACTTATACAAGAGAATTTAAATACGAGTAAAACGGTAAATTTATTGGTTTTAATGGTATTACAATGATGTCTGTTGTATTTTAATATTTTATTTTTTAAAAATATTTTAACTAATTTTAATTTATTCATATCAAAAATGTATTAATACCGTTTTGTGGTTCGTCAGTATAATTACTTTAAGTTAGGTGTATGCGCTAAAGTTAATATAACAATAAGTAATATTGAAAGAAAAATATAATAATAATTATATAATAGGTACGTTTATATTAATGTGATTATTTTAACCCACCATATTAAAAAAATAAAATGAATAAATAATTATTATTGATATATTTTTAAATTAAAATATAATTATCAACATATATCGACAAACTACGCTTAAAATATTTTTTTATCATAATTTATCATCGAATTCAAGTTTAATAAACTCATTTAAGTGATCCACTGTCGATGACAAAGTATATACTTGATACCTGCTACTAAACAGCTAAGTGACCTTATTGTTTATATTTGTATTAAATCTTTTAAAACAATACTATAATACTATCAATTATTATAAATTTATTATACTAATACCTATAAAGTAGTTAGTATTTAATAATACACGTTGTACAAAATGTCAAATTGTATAGTTATATTACCAATTAGTAATTTCCAAGGTACCTATTAAAATAATAAAATTGTGAAATATATTTTTTATTTATATAATTCTCTACTAGTTATTCCACATAAACAACAAGTATACCTTATATACTTAATGCAATAAATCATTGATCCTGACATTCTGGCATTCTGATGATTTGCTGTTTCGCATTTATTCCATTATTAGTTATTACTATAGTACTACTATAGTAATGTAACTACAATTAGAAATCGACTAAAAAAAAAAAAAAAATTATAAACAATAAAATTTGAAAAACAATTAGAAATTTAAAATCTAATATGAGCGATCGCACACAACCTAAACGTAATAATAGATATAGTTAATCGTGAAACACACAACAGAAAATTATAGTAAGTACACTGTATACATACAAGACAATGCTAGTGAGTAGTACAAATAAAATTATAAGAATAATATTATTAAAATTTATTCTTATTAAGCTTGATTCTACTGGAGTCATTCTGCACCATAGATTAATATTTAATAGATTGTATAATATATTACATATTCGTAATAAACGTATACTTTTTTATAAATATTATAATATTACGTCCCTTAGATAAATTGTTATTGCTTACGATCTGGTTTTCCTTAAAAATTAATTTAAATTATGGTCTTAAAAAATTCTGTCAAGCGATAAGTTATTATTTTGATGTATATAAATAGCAATATAAAATAACTGTGGATAAACTCTTCTACGTATCTATGTGATATATCAACATGTACATTTTACTATAGCTGGTATATGTTGTATTACCAATATGGCTTAGGCATACGTATTTTAAGTACTTTATAATATAACTACTTTTGATTTAATGGTATACAAAATTGAAACAATAGTTTAAACTGTTAAAGATAATTTCATTGAGAAATTTTGTTTTTCCTATTGATTAACACATTGAGTTGTTTAGTATTCAATTGAATAAATGTATGGTATAATTAAGTATATATAGATTTAAAAGCACCAGTTTATTTAATATGTATTTGCCATTTTTTCAAACATAATATATTCAGATTTAATTTAATTATGGTAAACAATAATTCGAAGAAGATTACTGATTTTGATAAATTTACAAATAACACGTCCATTTTGAAGTTCACATTAGTGTTAAAATTACATTGGCCAAAACAAAATAGGTACTTTTAAAAGTTCATACCTTATTTTACAGAGTGATTCATTTTATTCATAGTATATTATTTAATTATAAGATAAAATAATTTTAAGATATTTAGTAAATGCATCTTAAAAAAATAAATATATATATATATTTACGGCGTGTAACATGTTAATTTATAATCAGTATTTATTGTGCATTTAATTTAATAAATATACGTGTTATTAGTTTATTTACCTCTTAGTCATATGCATTCATGATTTCTTTAATTAATGTGAAATATTAAATAAATAATAATATAATAGTTACCTACTATCATATTAAATTAAATTAAATATATTATTTCTGGATTTAACTGTTGTTAAAAAATAAATTATTTAATATTTTTTATATCTCAGTTCAAGAATACTCTTGATAATAAATTAATATATTTTGTAGGTCCTGCAAATTAATACTAGCTTAGACGGCATGTACGCATTTGTCTACCCCTTAAATTGAAAGATTTCACAGGAAAATCTACATTATTTACCATGCCCTTTTATTGATTAAAATTTTATTTTTTATAATAATTATTAACTATAGTACAATATATAAAAATCTATACATTCAAATTGTTTTCAAATAACATAGGAACTGCATTTTTATCACTGTTGTTTTCTTTATATATAAGAAGTGTGAATCATACAATAATTAAGATCTGATATCTTTAATTAGATTTTAATCAGCTGATAATAATTGATCGACTGAAAAATTAAAGGAATAAATGAGTAAAAATTAAAATAACACGGTCTGTAGAACACTTTATAATGTTTTGTTCAATGGCTACTTATTTTTTTGTTCTGTAATTTAGGTACATAATAATTATTTATATATTTTAATAAAATATAATCACGTCGAGACAATATTTTATCAACAAGCTACTCAAACTTCAAAAAGAAAACGAAAAAAAATAAGTAAATCATAATTTATTATTAATTTGAGTCTTAACAATAGTACAATCTACATTGTGCGGTTGTAAAACAGTTAATGCTATAATAATAAATTCAATATATTCAATAATATATTGAATGCTTAAGTTACGTGTGTAACTCAAAAATATTTGAAATTCAATTATATACGCGTAGTAGGTACATTTAGGTACTATTGTATGATTTTAAATTCTAAGTAGAGCGATGAATGTATTAATTTTACAATAATGTGTTTTATTTTATTTTAGTGTTTGTCATCGCTATCGTTGGTGATTTTTTATAATAGATAAAGTTTAAATTTGAATAAAATTAAATATTTCAATAAAGAATAATGATTTTAGTTATTTTGTTATATTTAAAAAAAATTAACTAAAACTTTTAATATATAATGTTATATATTATTTTATACACTCAATCAAAAAAATTGATGCTTAAGGATTTTTATACGACCGAAGGAAGAGCTTTTAAGAGAGTAGGTACCTACTTTAAAATGATATACGCATATGATTAAGCTGCAGGGCTTCGAATTGGATCTTACATTTGAGTATTTGACACTGATTATAATTAATCAATCCCTAAATATATTTACTATTTAAATGAATTGAATAGTCACTGTTATTTATTAAATTCAAGTTCCTCCTACTAGTTATTATCTACTTCTTCATTTATTTGTGAATTAAATAGATACCTAACTTATAATTATTTTAAAATTAATCACAGATTTAACAGAAAAATGTAAAATAATAATGATAGGAAATACTCAGTTAAATCGAATTAATTATTATAATACAATAATATTTTATATGAAAAGTATACACGCACAATAGTTGTAATAGTTCTTATTAAAATAAATGGTTAACGGTTAATTATAAAAAATTATAAATTTCTTTAAGCTTAAAATTGTATTAATATTACAATTTTCATGTTTGTAAAACTCATCAGTTGCTTACTAATTTTAATTTATTTAATTTAGTGATATGTAATATTTTTATTGTGGTAACTGGTGACTGGTGACTATTCAATTGTTGTGAGATAACTATAAAAAAATATTAATTGAATAATAATTCTTAAGTTCTTTTTTAGTGTAATCAAAGTTAATCTAAAAAGTTAATTTATTATCATGCACATAAAAATATATTATAATTTATAATGAATTACAGACAAAACAATAGTATAGTGCATTATATTTTTAAATTTTATACTATTGTACTAAATATTTAAATAATTTGTTGTAGATCCTGGGTTTCCTCAAAAAATTTTTAGGGGGGAAAAATTAATTTAAAAAATGCTAATAATATTTTATTTTGTGAATAGTATTACACAAGAGTATGAATGCATAATATTATTATAATTTATAATAGTGTAAGAAGCTGACGGCAAAAGGAAGTCAATGCCAATGTCGGTAATTATTGTGTGTAAAAAAAATACCGTATACAAATTATTGTACACCGGGCGCGCCTAGAACCTGCACGATTATCAACCAACACCGACCACCCGCCATTGCACAACTAACAGCCGGTTAATCTTATCATAACTCGCGTCTTATCAGTTCCAAATTATTGAAAACAAATTAATCGTTGATGAAGAGTAAAGTTCGTGTTTTGTTTATTTTATTTAGAGAATAATCTCTACATTAATATTTTGAAGACTTCGTTTAAGTTTGTCATTGTTAATTCATTGATTGTAAGTACACATTGTATACGCCATGATATGAAATATCAAATAGGTATGTACAATTATTTATTTTAAGTAATATTGACGTATCTTGTTTATTCTGATGTTTTGATTATTATAATCTAAAATTACAATTCTTTTATATGGTTTTACGGTAAAAGGATTTCCTTTAAACGCGTTTAAATTCAATAATCGTGATATTTTACGACGAAGTTAATAAAATTAAATCTCAGTTAATCGATTTTCTCATTTGTGTAACATACTAACATCAGTTACCTACCTACTTAATAAATTAAAATATTCATTACAGTATGTTTATTATTATTACCAAAATATGACGTCTATACTGCCGTCTGCCTTGTATTCATATATTGTGGTGCATTCATTTAATAAACTAAAATATTGATATATTATATTAATAAATATTAACTAAAATGTTAGATATTAAAATAGTGAAAATAGTGTGTAGGATATTAATCTTAGTACTACATTACTACGTGTAAGATCTAGTTACGTAAACACATTCCGTGGCGGGAACGTTTCGTTTTGAATAACACACCAGTTGACACTAGGTCAGTGTTACCACACTCGTCCTCTTATACGTATTAGAGTCTAGAAACATTAATTGAAAAATTAAAATATTTTGATATAGGTACCTTGATAAAAATTCAGTCTTACACATTTAGTATAAAATTGAGTCGTATAAACTTAGTAAAATTATTAAATTTTATTATTCTCATCTTATAAGCAGTAATATTTACGTTAATATCAATGATGAAGTGTTAATATTATTTTATTATTTTTACAATGTGCTTTAACATATTACATGGTTATTGATTATTCATACTCTTATAATAAATAATTATATTTCTTAAAACTAATAAGTAATAAGTTACAAATATTATTAACATAATGTACACTTTGATCGGAGTGTTTAATTATGCCTTACCTATTTAATAATAATGTTCGTTCTATGTGCGGATACAGTAGGTTTTAAATAATATTGTTTGATTTTTCTTTAATTGCTCAATGCTATTTATTTTAATTAAGTGTAGATATTTTGGAAATATTCTGTGTATAATTTATAGGTACCTTATATATCTAAAAGGAAATGATTAGCCTCTAAATTATAATTTTTAACCTGTGTGCATTTTGAGATTAATAGGAATAAAAGATAAAATATTATTGATAAACACTTTTTAAATTAATATTAATTGTTTTTTTTTACTATTCAAAACATTTTTGTATACCGTGATATTTAACATATTCTTACTTTTTATACAATTTAGGTTCGTTTTGTACATGATAAATACATTACTTATTCCTATATTAAAAAATATGAAATTTAAATACTTAATTGTTGGAAATTAATTTTTATTTATTGTATAGTAGTTAGTGTATCTAGATTATATATGTAGTTAAGCATGCCCAAATTTACACTCTTCTAATTAATTAATTTTTTTTTTTTTTTTTTATAAATTTATTACGGCTTCAACAACAAAGGTTTTTAGCCTGCATTAAATTAATACAATTAAATATACATTATATCTTTATACAAATATTGACATTTTTAAGATAGGTTACAGTTTATGGCTTATGTTTATACTACGAAAAAATGAATTTATTCTTGTTATACTTAAAATGTCTAAGAATATTCATGTAAATCTTAAATTTAAATAAAAATGTCAAAATAAACATAATGAGAAAACTATCAATACATTTTTAATAGATATTAATAAGATACAAGTATACAATGTATATACTATTAATTTTAGATGATTCATTTATTGAAAATACTTATTAATTTTATTTGAATGCTATTAAAAATTGTAAAAAACATAAATAGATTAAGTCAAAAGGATTACATTTAAGTTATTCAAACTTTAATAATGTATTATGAAAGTTAAGTTATAAAACTGTTCAATATTAATGGAATTTTATTCCATGATAACTTCAAAAGTACGAGTATATACTTGTTGTTGAAAAATAGTAATTCAAAAATATCAAGATTTATTTAATAAATTAATTTTTGTGTACATACTATAATTTGGGTTATTTTTTTTAGATGATTTATGGCCCAAAAAGAATATTTTATTATAAAAATATAAAATACAAGTTCATATTATGATTCAATTTACATTTTTTATACTAGTAACATTAATTTTAAATTAAAGATGTAGCATTGCTTATCCGTTAGCGCACTGTTTGTTTTTTTTTCATCTAAGCGTAACAGTAAATTTAGATTCAGAAGAGTTAACCATGGTTAACTTTAGTAACTTAAGTGCTATAGTTGTTTTAGTAAATTGATCTTTTATTAAATGTATAATTAAGAATAATAATTGTGTTTTTATTTTTCTTGGCTGTTTTACGATATTATAATTTTTATGGAAGTTATGAGTACCTATGTTTAATGTACAAATATGAGAACACAGTTAATATTCTTAATTTTTATTTTTATAATGGGTCATTTAACAACGCTAACATTACAAAGTGGTTTTATTGAACGCAAATTTGCTATTTCGCGTAGGTCAGGAAGAGAATAAATAGAGTGCAGACACCCTCTTTAATTGTTTTGATTTTATTTAGATACTTTTTTTCAAAGTAAAAAATGTAGTTTAATCTTTAATCTTCATGCAATTATAGTTAATTCATAGATTAGATGTTTATTAATGGATTTTCTTCTACACAATTGAACTCGATTAGATATTTACTTCAAGCAAAATTGCTTTAGATTATCGTCATTGAACTTGTTTTCTTTAATCTTTCTCATACCCGTTACGAGTGTGAATTAGTCTTAAATGCAAATGCATAACTTCCGTTTAATATTTTATTTATTATTATTTTCAGTCTTTTCATGTGCTAATGTTTCGCACGAGCAGTTTTATATAATATTTTATAAAGTATTATATCCGTTAAATGGAATAACTCGCGATTATCGTTGGCTACACAGTCAATGATCATGTGGAGGAAGTTATTTTTCTACTACCACTCAAAATAATGTTTTTTTTTCTTTTCTTTTTAAATATACTTTCATTTGCTGAGACTTAGACAGAGTGCTTCCGTTGCAAGTCACTGCATACTTACCAACCAAAAAAAGCTAAACAGAATAAGTGTATTGACCTGAATAAACACCTGGTAACAATGATTTAATCTCATCGGGCCTAAATAAACATTTAACATTCAAATTAAAAACTATCTATCTATACACTCGGGAGAGAGTCGAGGAGAGGTATTGAAGAAAAAGGGTTTAAGTCATTTCTCCCTCAACAATCGGTTGGTTGGTTTTTTTGTGCTCATAGTGTAAACATCTCTTTTGGGGTTCCCACTAATGATTTATTATTACAATATTACTGCTGTGTGTACTTTTTATTGTTATTATTATTATTGTATTTGCATTTTTTCTATGTGGTGTCATTTGTTAGAGAAATGAATTTATTGATTCAATATATAAAATAACCTACCTAATAACAAATGGTTTTAATAAATTTGTTTTCGTTGATTTCGTTAAATTCAAATTTAAGAATGAATTGAAAAATGTGAACTCATTTAATTTTATTGAATTATATTTTATTTATATTTGTATATTTATTACTTTTCGGTGCAGTGCTTATTAGTTTTATAATATTTAGGAAATACTAATTCAATATTTATACAAGCCCTAAAACTCAGCCATAGTAAAGTATAGTTATTGTGGACAACGTATAAGGATTAAGGAATGATAAAACCAAAAATTAGTAGGTGCATATATTTATAAAAAATTAAACAAATAATTCAGTTTAATATAATTATTTTTATTATATAGTTCGTTCACAATATTGATAAATTTGGTAAAGTAAATTTTTTAATTACTTTAACATTTTAAAACGCATTTATGACTAACATGATTTAGTGTTGTCTTAACTCCGTAGAGTACATATTATATTATTTATTTTAAATTTTAAATATGTTTAATATGTTTGTCATGTATTTATTAACACGAATGAAAAAAAACAAATACATATATAATGTTGAAGCAACGATCCCATGATTGTTTAGTATTCTTCTTGATAGTCCATTGTATTTTTATTTTTTTATTTTTTTTTTTGTTTCCATCATACCGGGTGGTCATAGCACCAAGATATATTGTCCAGACGTCCACTACGTGACAGGTAAATGCTTCTAGATTATTATTCTTTACGTTTTTTAATTGACATATTTATTACATTACCTATTGAAACATCGCAAAAGAAATAATGAGATATATTTTTGAATTACAAAATTACATTAAGTCTTTCTATAGACAGTAAATAATAAGTGCATATTAAGTTTATATTCATTGAGATTGAACGATATTTTACTTCATTTTATTACGGGTTTTATGAATATATTATACATTTCATACATTGATATAAGTTTAATAGACAACGTATTTCAACAATTCAATGTTTAATTAAAAAAATATTTATGTATGGAAAGATGATGAATTGAAGTGTAATTTAGATAACACACGTACAATTTTTAAATTATTACTAATGAATTATTGATTGTACTAAAAAATAAATTACGTTAACCTTGATATGTGCCTAATATTAGTAGTACCAATATTTACCCCTTTAACTATGAATTAGTTTTAATTGATAATTAATTAGCTTTATTTTCATAAGTTATTTTCCTATATAAGAAGGTAGGTATATAATAAGAAATCACATTAAAATTATATGACTCTATAACTACATAAAGGCTTACTCAACATATTGCTTTAAATTATAGGTATTAAGTATACGCATGTTGATTTTTTGATTAAAGTTTAAATTAATTAAAAAAGATAAAAATAAATATACTATAGTTGCATTAAAAGTATTATTCATTTATTTGTAAAATAATATATACTTATTACTTATTTAATCTTATATGTATACCATAAATCATAATAATAATTATTTTTCATGTCTTACAAATAGTAAAAATCTGACGTCTTTAGAATAAGTCATTCATTTATATTTGTTGTATTATACTATTTTTTTATTTTTTATATAATATAAGAGAAACGTTTACATGTTCTGTTTCTTAATCTAAAATTTTATTTTTAAGCTAATAAGTTAATTTAAAATTTAGAATAATTACTACACTTTGAAATCCTTACGTTTTTTAGCCTATTTTGTTACCTACAATAATATGCTATTTTTATGTTTCAATTAATTTTTTACAATTTTTTTTTAAAATCATTAAGCATTTGAAATTATATGTTAAAAAATAGAAATTTAAATAATTATATAGATACATTAAAATTAAATACATCCAAATAAATTCAAGATATTTGTATTTGCTTAAAAATAAAATAATTCAATGGTTTTAATTTTTAATATAAACCATAGGAAAAAAAAACTTAATAGATGGGTATTATTCAACCAACTATGGTTGGATATTTTTTTGATTTATATAATCTTGAATACTCATTTAAAAATCAGAATTGAATGCTGTATAGTATATACTCGTATATTTGTAGCAGTCATGAAAAATGTGTTCTTTTGTATTCATTTTTACATCATCATGTAGGTGTACAAATAATAGAAAAAAAATTAAGCACGAAAGCAATTACATTTTTTTATTTTTTACTTTTTATTTTGTTTAGACATCACTGTGGCTCAACTATGTTCATACTTAGAATTTAAAAAAATTAATGATTATATAAATTTAAAATGTTTTTTCTTTTTTAGTAGTAAATATATTTAAGTACATTTTCTATCGTATGTTTCAGATGTACCTATGCAATTGATTCTTACGACAAGTGTGTTGGAATTTATACTATTAAACGACATATTTCTTAGTAGCTGGGACCATGAATACGTACCACAGACGTGGATTGGCCAAGGTAATAGCTGAAAAGGCGTTACTCAGCCAGTCCTTGAAGAACTTAAACAAAGCTGCCGTAAGTGTTTATTTAATTCGCATATTATATTATAGTGGTTGGTATAATTTATAAGTGTAAGTAGATATAATATGCAAACGGATAAACAAAATTGTGAAGTGTAAGACATTCCGTTGTTTATATAATATTCGTTCACAAACTCTTCTTACTTCTAAATATAAATTATACGTCTAATATTATAATATTACAATATATATAAATAATATTTTTTATTTTAAAGACCATAAAAATTGACAAAATAACATCATATAAATGATTATTATATTATGCTCTTTTCAATTCTTTGATACGTTATACGCGTGTTATATACGTCCAAATAGTGATAATGGTTTTTGATATTTTATTTTAGGTGTACCTACATATAAAATGGTTCTCGTAAACACAAACAAAATATATAACCAGGCATAGCGAAATATTTCGTGAATTGCTTTATGTCATAAATAAAATGAAACTCATTGTTTTGTAAGCCAATGGAAAATAGCATTTGTAAAATTATGGATGAATATTTTTCCTATTAGCATACAGAATCGATTTGGGCTATAAAAACAACCTGGTTAGAATAAATCTTTGCCGAAGTTCTAACATTAATGTCTAAACGGCTGGAAAAATGAATCATTAAAACTGTATGGACTTTTATATTGATGAAATGGCTAAAAAACAGTTACTGAGTCAAACCCATTAATTTCATTTTATTGCTTAATTTTTTTTATACTATTATTGTGCTTATAATGACTACTGTGTGATGCTTGGCAATTTATTTAAATTAATTCAACATTAAATGTAGTCGATGTTTGATTGTATATTATAGACTGTAGTACAACTAGAAACTTTATAGCACTTATATTATATATCGTATATACGTTAATATATTATATAAAGTATCAATATTATTGTATCATTTAATAAAATCACATCGTTACTTCTAAAATGATTTTGGTATCATCAAGGTTAGATACATTATTTAAAATATTGCATACATTTTTGTCTTTTGCTAAAATTTTACCAGAATCTCTGTGTATAATTATTTACTAATTTGTATTATAAGTAGGGCTTGTATTCAAAAAACAAATTTGTAATACGTTATTTACAATTTTAACGGTATACAAATTTTGCGTTTATCGTTATAATTGAATTTTTGCATTTATCGTTATTCAGAATTAAATTTTTTAGTTTATTTTATACCTAATTAATAACTATTAAATAATTGGAAATTAATTGTTTTTTTAAATGATGTATGACGTTTTGCGTAATGTTTTGTTTTATGTTATTTAATTATTTATGTTTATCGTTTTCCGTTATAATTACTTTCATAATTAAATTTCAATCGTTTTTTGACAAATATAACGTCATAATCATAATGTTATAACGTTTTCAAGCCATGATTATATAAGACATCATATTTTGATGCTTAATCAAACTAGTTTATTAAGTTATAATTATATTAGTTGGGTTTTATTACAAATGCATTAAAAACTTCAAAATTTATATTCAAAAGTTATTTTTACGAAAATTTTAAATTATAACTGTTTTTGGATATATTTTATTCATCTATTTATTGTTATAAATGTGATAAGTTATTATTATTTTTTAATTTATGTTGTATTCTATATAATATATTTATACTCTCTAAATTGTTTTAGTAAATCATTTTGTTCTATACCAACTCATACTTATTATGTTAACTGTAATATTTTTAACAGTGTTTTCAAATATTTAATATTGTGTATTTGTACATAAATTTTTCTTTTTTATATTTTTACTTAATTTATTTTCTATGTTTTAATTCGTATGACCACATTTAGTATAAAGGTATTGAATATAAATGTATAGTTGAAATCGGACTAATATAGAAAAAAAAATTGTCACCCAATAACTGTGTAAATACCCTCTAACCAAAAGACATGTTATTGCCGATTTTAGGGAAACTCTCTGGGGTGAGTTTGGTTCAATTACACGTGTATCATTTAATCTTGTGTACATTTAACCTATTATGTTACATTCACTACTTGACCATTTTATTTTATCATCGGATTTTTTCTTACCCAAAAGAGGGTCGTCGTTTTAGTTTCAATCCCTATTTCTAGCAAATGGGTTTGTAAGGGAATATTGAGTTGAGTAAGTGAAACCTGTCAAACTAATATGTTCCGAAACTTAGTTTATTAGATTTAAAATTATAAAACATAACTAATCAAGTTATGATAAAAAGGTTTTCATTAATAAAGTTTTTTTTTTTAATAATAGCGTAATTAAATTTTTGTTATAGCTTCATTATATTAATCAATTTGTTTTTTCGTGGGTTATTTATAGTTTATGGTTTTTGATTCTAAAATAAATTATTTATAGTAATACAAATACTTTACGAGTATAACAAAAATTTAAAAAAATTGTCCATGTTTAAAATTATTTCAATTGATTAGTCAATTACTAATAAATATATTATTATATTAAACGTAATTTTGGAGTATTAGAAGTATATCTGTCATCTGATATCAAAATTTTGTAATATTATTTTAAGTTGAAAATGTAAACTATTAAATTGCATGTTGATTTTTTATCGGTTATAGTATAGATAATACAAATTCATCCAATAATAAATAACAAAATATTGATATTATAATTTTTTGTCAAAAGTTAAATTTTGATCAAATCAGTATAAAACTTAGTAAAGTTCAGTTTTGCTAAATAAAACTAGAAAATACGGTTATTTTTTGAAAACTTGTATAACTTATAGAAACTAATAAGATTTACTAAGTTAATTTAATGGCTTTACTTCAAAGCCTCCCACAAATAGCAAATCAAGCGCATCAGTACTGAAAGTTCTCGAATTCATCTTAATTTCCTTGTTTGTGTAGTTTGAAATACATTTTAATAATTAAATTGATGTTTATATTTTAACATATTATATAAATAGTTTTTTTTTTAATATGTCTTGAAATGTTTTATTAATAAGTTATACCTAAGTAATTCGCATATGTTTAAATATAATATTTACATTTTTAAATGTCGTATATATTAATATTCTAAAAATACAAACAATTGTTATTCGTAGTAGATATATGTTATATATTTGAATAAACACCTCATTATTGAATATTTAATTTTCATGTCGTCTAGACTTCAAAATTATATTTTATCATCAAAATATTTATTACATAACTTAGTTTTTGCTAAAAAAATGCCATATATTTACTATTTGTTCATATTTTTATTAGAAAATACTATTTATGTTTCGACTTTTGGCCATAAAAATTAAACGAATTAAACTATGTTAAAAAAAATGTAAATCTACATATTAATTTACAAAACAAATAAAATATTATTCAAAATTAATTTTATTTGTGTTGTGATTATAATACTAATTTTTATAGTACTGTAATTTTATAAGATATTTTTAATAAATTATTTATTTAGTTGAAAAATAGTTTATTAATCACGCATTTAGTATAACACTAGATTTTGTATTTTATAAAAATATATATTTTACTATAAGTTATAATTGAATTTAATAAATTAATATATAAGTATTATTTTTGTAAAAAAGTAAATACTATGCATAGACTTTTGTCTATTATACATATTTCGGTGTTCTTTTGATGATTATTATTTCTTAGATTCTCATTCACGTTTATCTTAATTTTAAATTATTTAAGTATATTAGTAAATATATAAATTAATACCTATTATACATAAAAACAAACTATATCATCTCAATATATTAAAAATAACTTGTTAACAAAAATCATTTAAGTATATCAAAGAAGTTTCGATTGAAATATAAATATTTTAAAACTAACTAGATATGGTCTATAATATATGTTACATTTGTTTTTTATAAAAAAATTTGTAATCGTTTAATATTAACCCATTTTTTTTTTTTTTTGAAAATAAACGGTTAATTTTTGTCAATGTTCTTTTCATTTTAATTAATTTTTAGTTATTTTTTAAAAATAGATGAAAAGTATTGTTAATATGTTGTTCGCATATATTATAGAAGTTGGTAAAACGTCAACGCAAAGCTTGACGTTTATTATGGATCCCATGTATAATATATGTATATGAGGAAATGAATTCACAAATATTTATATAACTTTCATGGAAAGCCGGCGGCCCACTTGTCCAAAATTGATTCCAATGTGTTCTTTAGTGTGCGCATGTGTATATAGATATAAGTTTATACAACCAATGTATAGCACAGTAGTGGTGCACTATATACTGCCTCTACCAGTGTATACCTTCTCCTCTGAGTTACGATGGTGGACAGGATAAATTCAAGTAGTAGAGGGAGAGGGGTTAAGAATAATTCAACCGTGGTTCGGTGACTGAGAAATTGAAACGAGATCCCTTCTCGAAGAGACGACGACGGGCGGTGCGCGCGAGTGCGAGCGACCGGGAATTTGCGATTGTGCATGTGCGAAATGAGATTTGATATGTGTAGTGGAGAGGTAATATTCGCGCGCATTCTCCTTGTATATATATGTATATATGAGGGGCGGAGGGAACGTTCATCAGGACCGCCGCTGTTCGGTTTTTTCTCAACCTCCCCTTCACCTCTAACCACCCCTTATCATCTCCCTACACACACACATATACACACACCCGCCGACCATCTCCCGTACGCTATATATTCTTCGCTTTGCCGTCGCCCTCGCTCTTGATACGACCCGTATGTGTGCATGACGTCTGAGCCCCGTTAGAAAATTGCCGAGGAAAAACTCATTTTCGCATTTTCTTCCTTTACACACAATCCGCTTGTACACACACATGCATACACACACGCACACACACATACGTGAACGCGCGCGCTCGCTCACACTCTCCGCCCACTCAAGCGTGTGCGTGTGTTTGTATATGTGTATACGTTCTACTTCTTTTTTATCCGTAATTCCTTTTCGCCGTTAGAGATCCAATCAGCTCTCTGGTTCCTCCGCCCCTTCTGGGCTTTTTTTTAACTTTGAATTCCCCACCGCTGCCGACTCACGTTCTCCTCCATCGGCGTGTTA